CACACACACACACACACAAACACACACTAACTGAAACTATAAAGCTACCAGAAGAAAACACAGGAGCAAAGTCCCTGACATTGGTCTGGATAGAACTTTCTTGGATATGATCCTCAAAGCACAGGCAACAAAAGGAAAAATACACCAATAGAAAAGCATTCAACTAAAGTGCTTCTGCCACAAAAAGAAAATAATTAAGAGAGTGAAAAGAAATTCACACACTGGGGCTGAGTTTGTGGCTCAGTGGTAGAGTGCTTGCCTAGCATGTGTGAGGCACTATGTTCAATTCTCAGCACCATATATAAATAAAAAAGTAAACATAAATTGATAACTAAACAATATTTTTTAAAAAAGAAACTCACACACTGAAAAAAAAATATTTGCAAATCATGAATCAGATAAGGGGCTACTCCCCAAAGTATGGGATGCAAAAAGTAGATGTACTGCTTTTCAGAGAGATAGGTAAAAGAGGAAATTCACTGAAATTCAATATCAGACAGTCAGAAGCTATTCAAGACTTAGAAATCCTGTGCATTGAACAAAAAGTAAAAATACATTGGAACCAAGTTGGTTGTGGCAGTGCCACTGGCTCACCACAGAGGGGAGGAAAGACACAGAGAAAAACACACTTGGCACAGAAAAACCTGTAGATCATAAAAACAGCATGTAATTAATTGATCCACTGGCCACACAGTGAACAGGTGTTGGAAAAGAATTCTCTGTTTCTCAACAGGCAAGCAGACAGCTGAGACGGGAACCATTTTGAGGAGGCCATGCTGCAGCTTCCTGCTTCCAGAGCCCAGGAGATCCTAACAAATATCTCTATACTGTCCAGATGAGTACCCACAGTGTTGCCTGGGTTGTACCTAGAACAATGAGTGAAACAGGCACAGACACTGTCTGTGTGGGGGTGGGGGTGGCTTCAAGTCAGAAATACTTCGAGAACTGCAACTCACTGTCCATTGAGTCTGGTGACTCACATGACCTCCTTGAAGAGGGTTGGGAATCTGAAGGACATAAGCACTCTCAGGGACTAACCCCTGGATGGCTATATTTGCGGGCAGCTGAGTGTGTGACACTTGTGCAGGTTGCGCTCCCTTTCCGCACAAGTAGAAACTCCAGAGATCCAGACTCCCAGCAAAGATCTACATCTGCCTGGCCACAGTGTTGATCTGGAAAGCCAGAGCAGATACCACCCAACCAAGTTCCCAAGGCCTAAAAGTCTCAAGCCACAGCCACCAGATCTTCCCAATTGGAACTCTGTAGCAGGCTCACCCTGGGAGTACATCAATCTGGTCTGTGAGAGAAAACTGCAAGCAACAGTCCTTCCTATTCCATCACCCCTTACACTGGTAAGAAGCTGAGAACTATTTGAACCAGCTTCAGTTTTAGACTACTCCTGCTGGCAGTTGTGAGAGCAATAGAAAAAGAGGAAGGGGTTAACAACTCCCAGAGCTTGGTCTCTGTCTCTTATTATAGCCCAAAAGAGGAAAATTATTTTACTTCTCATAAAATGTTTTTTTCTATTTCTGTTTTATTTTGGTGTTTTTATTGTGCTGATTATTTCATGAATATATATACCAATACATAATGGTTTACATTTTTTATCATTTTTAGCATTGTTTAACACTACTTATTTTCCCTTGGCTTTGAGGGTTAAAAGGTTGTTTATATATTTTGGTTTTGTTTTATTTTAATTTGTTTATTTCCCTTGTTCTCTTTTTCTCCTTTCTTCTCCCACTAACAGCCAAATTCTCTTTCTCTCTCCCTTTACTTTTCTATTTTCTGGCATCCCTCTTTACAACCATCACTTGCTACATCTCTTCTATATTCACTCTGTTTACATTTTTAACATTCTAAACTTACTTTTACTATCCCATCATATTTTCTCTTCTCTCTCTCTCTCTCTCTCTC